TGATTGCTGTAGGAAATGAAACATCATTTAACCCTGAATTAGTAAATAATGCATGATATCTAAAATTTAGTACAGAAATGGAAGAGTTTCCCCCCCTTCAAATTAAGTCTAGGGAAGTTCCCTTGACTTGGTTGTCCTGTGTTACTATTGTCAGACATCGCTTTTTGAGCGATATTATATTATGTTTTCTTGGTCAGCAAATAATTTAGTTTATCCCCTCTCTTGCCCTTCAGTTATCTGGTAGCTCATCCATCGCTGTATTAATTTGTAACATTGTACATACTCCTATAATTTGTGTACAGAGAACAATGTGAATTACAGAGTCCTCAAGGACACAAGAAGGATTAAGATAAAAACTCAGTTTCCTCTCTTCTCATCTTAGAATTCTGAGTCAGTTCAGAATTGAAGTACCAAGTAACCTGACATCTCGGCCTCAGATATAGCCTTTTTTTTTTCCAAGCTACGGCCATCCTTCATCCCTGTCTCTTCTTCCTCTTTCCTATCATTTGAGGAGGTTTATTTTGTTACTTCAGTCATTGTTACGGGCACCATGCCTATGGGTCCACACCCAGCCAAGATCCGTTGCCCCGTTTGCCACATGGATATCAAAACAACGACAGTATCAGAGAACAAAGCTGGCGCTCATGTTGCTTGTATCTGTCTCTTCTTGGTCGGGTAAGTTACAATTATGTAGTTTGTTATGGACTCAACAGTGTCATTGTGCAGTGTAGTAGTTTTTTATGTATGACAGCTTTGAAAGAAACTGTCAACTCTTTTTTGCTGGTTGCACAGAAATGCATACTTGGCTACAGCATGTATGACTATTTTACTTTGTAAAGTCAGGTGTGTTCGCGTACACATCCGCGGGCACACAGATAAAATCAGAAAGTCTTTACACATTTACAGCATTGTTAGATGAATTATGTGTTATCCTACGAGCCTGTCCATGGTGGTTTACTTATTTATAGTGTTTTGGGTTTGAAATTAATGGTACTTGTGCTGTTTCTGTTGTTCAAGACGGCCATTGGATCTCATTATTAGGTTGTGCTTTTTGAAGTAAATACGTCTATACGGAAGGGTCATTCGGCGAAAAAGTGTAACGAAAAAGTGACAGGGAAATCTGTAAGATCCGATAACAATGGTTACCTAGGGAACGTTGTGTTTACTTGGCATTACAGAGACGTCAACTTTTATATGGACTTCTGCGTGCATTGTTATGTTACCTATTTTTAAAGCGATGTGTCTCGATAATCCACAAGGACCGATGTTAGTTAAAGAACACCATCCCTCAGAGCTGTGCTATTTTGGAAAGCATCCTGAAATGTGTTTCTGTACACGTGCACAACCTCTCCCCACATACAAACATGCATGCATATGCTGTGTATATGAAGGCATGCTGAAAAGTAACACCTCCATTTATTCCGTGAAACAAACTCGCATAGCAACGTGAAGTAAACTGAAGTAGATGGACATTTGCCAACAGATGTTGCTGTGTTATGAGCATGAAAGTGACAGTGCAGTATTGTCACACTCGTGCGACAGATTTTCCTCAAACAATGTGTGGCTTCACATGAAATTCACCGCCTTACTTTCATTGTCTTGGACCACCCACCATATAGCCCTGACTTTGCTCCATCTGACTTCATCTGTTCCCAAAACTGAAGGAATGTCTGGGAGAACGTTGTGGTTATGTAAACAAGGTGCATGCTGTTCTTCTTCTATGGCTCTCCGGTCGGGATTCGGTCCATGGTCTCCTCGATTCTCCTCTTTCATTCGGTCCTCTGTTAGGTCCGTCTGTCTGAGGCTTTGATTGAGGTTTCGAAACATCTTCCTTTTTACGGTGCAAGGTTGTTAGCCTTGCGACCAACTCCCAACCTGGAGGACCAGGGTACCTGTCTTAGATGCATGTGAAACTATCTTATGGTTGGTTGAAGTGTGTCAATGACAGAGATGATTTATGTTGACATGTAAAATTACAGAATGAGGTTCAAGAAAAATACCCATTTTTGTTTCAATAAAATATATATTCTCTTTATGGGAAAAAAGGATACATTACTTTGCAGCATGCCATTGTACATCCACGTTTCTACGTAATTGCTTACAGCTTAATGGGGTATCATACAGTTCTGGAGGTAACAAAGACTTGGACACTATCCTGTATTCAAGATATGTCGACATGCAAAGGTAAAGCAAAAATTTTCGTCTTGAATTCTGGTGGAAGAACATTTTGGAAAGTGTTCGTTTAGAGGATTGAGAAGGAAATGTTAGAGTAATTCTTGAATCTTTCCCCTGTTAATTTTTATGAACTTTGTTCGGCACAACTTTATTTTATAGAATTTGTATGTTGTCACCTTGAACATACATTTCATTTCAATGTAGGTGCTGCTTGTGTTCATGCATACCGTACTGCATGGATTCCTTCAAAAATGTGAGACACTCTTGCCCCAACTGTAAGAGCTACCTTGGGATGTACAACCCATAAACCGTCTGCGAGAGATCTGTGAGTTGTCCTGAGACAAGTCTTGTCTATTGACTGATGAGTGAAAGACATTAATATAAGATAAGAGCAGTTTAGTTGGCCATGGGCTTTTTTCAACAAGTAACCTGTAACAAGTGTTACAGTTTGAAAATTAGAATTTGAATACAGTAAATCTGAACATTACCATATTTACTTGAATGTAAAATTGTGCAGAAGATCAAATTTCATTATCATTTTTGTCAGCAGGCTTTGTTAGCTGATCGGTATTGTGCTTGGCTCCATTATGACATCATAAGCTTGGTTATTGCCGGTTATATATTTACAACTATTTTATGTAATAAATAAGAAGACTTAGAAGATTTCCGTCTTCTGGGTTGTTGCGCTGTGTAGTCTGGTCGATGTTAACCAACGTTTCAGAGGTCATACTGCCTCCGTCATCATACTCACCGCTGTGAGAACCTCAAGCCTTACAAGAAGACTTAGAACAAGGAAAATTGGATCATGGTTTGATTAATGATGAATTAAAGGCTAGTATGAGAGACTCCTTTTCTTGGGAATTTGCGGTTGTCCTGGGAAGGTACAAAATATCTGTAGACTTCTCCATCTGTCATTTCTTATATCCATTATTCACTACTTAATATCATTATTTCCATATTTGTCATTGGTTCTCATATTCTTGTTTCTATCTGTCATACATTATGCTATTCAGCAATCCCTATCTGCCAGAAACCTTTTGTCTACAACTTTTGTGTCTTATGTACAGTACTTTATTTTTGCAATAAACTCAGTGCCCATGTCTCTGAAGACTTATGAGAAAGCTAAGGGGGCATGTGTAGTCACCAGTTCGTAAACGTTCAGAATTTTATTATCGTTGGTTTTGAAGGTGGCAAATGAATATCCAGTATTATACATGAACATGGAATACTGCCTCCAACAGTGAGAAGAATTGTAGCCGATGAAGAAAAATATAAAGCTATTACAAAATTAGGATGCCTGGCACAAATTTTTATTGAAAATGGAGAAATTTTTTATTTGTATTTCTGATCTATAAGATAAAGAGCTATTATGAATTCAGCTTTGATAAGGTTAAAGCTAAGAGGATTTTTTACAGTATCAGAGCTATTTTGCAGCTTTGATAAGGTTAAAGCTAAGAGGTTTTTTTTACAGTATCAGAGCTATTTTTTATTGGTGTTTGTGGTCAAGTTATGATTTCCCTAGAATGAATTGTCACAACAAGCATGTTTTTTGCTCAAATTGTTTATCTGTTAGACTTTTAAGCAACCAGTGTATGGACATCAAGGGCCCATTTTACTGTGTTAGGTTGCCGTGTGGTATTTCTAATGTAAATTTAATTTTAAGACTGAATATTAGGAATTTTCATGCATTTTAATGTTTTTGTTTATATTCCTGTTTTGAGCAGCACCAGTAGAGATTTTTCAACATTTTGATTGTTGGAATACGCTTTAAGTTAGCAGAAGCTTTTACTGCCATATACTAAGTAGTTTTGTTACATTCTAGAGAATATGGTATACTTACATTTCAGTATGCAAGATTCATAAGCTCAGATATGGGCCTGAGTGTTTTTATATTCATGTTGGAACAATCTTCATTTGCATATATATTTTTGACAAAACATTTTTTCTATATATATATGTGCATATTCTTCCACTTTTTTCCGATCGCACCTCGTATACATACACAACACTTAGTTCACTTTTACTGTTGTGTGAATTTTTCCTGTGCATATTCTTCCACTTCGACTGATTTTGTTGGTAATTATGGTTATGCTTCCACAATTACCTACTTTCATCTTGAGTTCATTTTTTGAATTCTAATTGCCTGTTCTTCCTTTTTTGTTGGTAATTATGGTTATGCTTCCATGATTACCTACTTTCATCTTGTGTTCATTTTTTCAATTCTAATTGCCTGTTCTTCCTTCGCCTGAATACCTTAAGAACACGCAACTTCCAAGTTCATCGCAAATTTAGAATTTTTTAATCCACATTTCCTTGTATAAAGAACATGAGGAAAATTGTTGATATTTTTATCTTGAAAATTAGGCAGACAGGTGTCCAAGAATTTTACATCATATATATAAATTACCATGTTTCTATCCAACAGTGATATTTTTATCTTGAAAATTAGGCAGACGGGTGTTCAAGAATTTTACGTCATATATATAAATTACCATGTTTCTACCCAACAGTTCATCATAGAAATAAATTATACGATGTCCAAACAATGCCAAAACCATTGTATTCCATTTATCTTTTTATTTTCTATTTTATAACAATTATATTTCTTTTCTTAACACTTGCCTGATGTGGTTTATAATAGTTACAGTTTAGCAGCATTTATGGCTGGATTTTATAATGACAACTTTTGTCCATAAGTAGCATTTAGTAGGGTGGTGCTATATGACAACAGAGGACATAGACTTTCTTCTGAAATGTTTATTGTACTCGGCAACTGTTAATGAAACGGCAGAAGAAGTAAGCTCTTGCCTTACTACGACCCCCCATTGTGCGACAATCTGCAGCTGAGACTGGCCATACTTTCAGTAACCAGGGTTCACACACGTGACAGAAGGCGACAGACTGAATGAAAAAACCCTTCATTTTCATTCTTTGTGTTCTTGGTGATTGTATTTCTCAAATGGAAATTTTGTTGAATGTGTAGGATAACTAAATTAGATGTTAGTTAGAAAGTTACCACCATATTACATGTTATGTGTGTCATATATCCATGCATTTGTTAAGAGACTTGTATGTCTTATTATTTCAGTATTATACAGAATACATGTTTATATGCTACTGAATAATAAAATACTTTAACATATGGCTTGTTATTCAATGTATAACAAATATTTATTGTAAGAAACCACAAACAGTTCAATGTGGGACACTTAAAACATTAATTAGAGCAAACTATATTTATATTTGGAATGCAGAAATTGAATTGTACCTTGAATATTCTCCACAAGAGGTAACAGACAAATATTTAATATATGTGTGTTGAGCTCACTAACCTCTAGTTGTAATTGACAGTTCAAATGTTTTATATACCACTTGTGGGTACATTTATTCATTTTTAGATACACACACAGATCCCTGCATTAGAAATTTGTTGTGTATCAAAGTTCATCTGTAGATCTTTTTTTCAGAAATTGGACCATGGCTTCGCAGAGTCTTATAAATGGTGGTAAGGTTTCGTGGTTACCTGTTTAATCCGTAATTAAGATGAAATGTATTGCACTTGTAACGAATAATACTACAAAGCAATACGGTTTTTCAGTAACAAACCTGGACAATAAATAACATTTTATAATTTCCTTGTATTTTGACACTGCCTTCCTTAATGGAAATTACGTTCCACAAGAAATGTGCGTTTAATTATGTGAGGATCAAGAGACAGAAGGAGATGTTAAAAAGCTAAATTCAGGGCAGTATTAAGGGCTGCAGAATATCCCTTGAAAATTAGATGCTGCACTCTGACACTGTAAGTAGTTATCAAAAGTGATGTCTGAACAGTCTGATTTATTAAAATATGAAGCTAGGTAATACTTTGTTCATATGCAATTGGACATTTGTAACTCAGATTATTCCTGTGCCTGTAAGTCAAATCAAGGGAAGAGTGCAAAATATATTTTGTAATCACAACAGGTCAAAATAAATCATCCACAAGTGTTTGTGTGCGAATGGATTGAGTCAATTGAAAGCACTAAAATGATCCATAATCACGTCAAATACAAGAAATTTACATCATAAAAATCTACATATAATTTTTTTTTCTTCAAATTATTAAATGAATTTATCAATTTTCAATTGAATTTGTCACATTGTACCACTTCACGCTCAAGACACAGTAACAGTATAGTATAATGACAACTTTTAAAGATTAATTTCTTGATTAAAGCATTGTTATCATCACAGACTTCTCTCGCATATGTTCAGTCACTGTAGGTTCCAAGAAAGGTTCCACAACTGGGGCAGTAATGGTTGGCACTCTTGCAGCTGTCTGTACAATATGGAATCAGGGCACAGGGACAGCATCTGTAATGAGAATGAAAATGAGAAAATAATTCTTGACACTTCTGAAGAATAGTAATGAAACCAAATGAAATACCAGGCCATAAAGTTTCCTGCAGTAGGTGGGGTTGTGTTACTATGAACCTTTATGCAATATAGTGCAACCCCAAAGGTCATTAGGATCAATGCAGATGTGAGTCACACTGAGAAAGTTAATGAGGTTGAACTCAGCATCAGTTTTTTTGCATTCGCTTGACTACTTAAAATTGACTGTGACAGCCTTTTTTTTCTATACCATTCACACTTTATCATCCAATGTGAATTATCATTGCCCTTGGTCTTGCATTAAAAGTAAGAACGCAATTGTAGAAACGAACAAACAAAACAACGCAAACGTCATTTTTCTAGGTAAGTTGTGTTGATTGTTGGAATTTCCCTTGTGACTCCATCCTGTCCTTTTTGTTTCCAGATGACAGTGGAAATGGTAGCACCTAATACAATTCACTGCTCCGAGTCACTTTAAGTTGTCTTTCAAACTTGAAGCTCTTTCGACTTTACTTTAAAGTTTATCAGATGTACTCGTGCTCTTGAGATACTAATGACGCTGTGTCATGGACAATATGATCCAAGCAGTGGATCAGTATCATATAATTTAAACCATGTTGACTTTTGTCATTACACGTTACGTCAGATTCATTTTTGTCATGCACACTGCACGTTTCCTGTGACCTTGGTACTGGAAAATTGTCATTGTATAAAATTGACTTTTATCTGTTTCAGCACATCTGGATATTGTGCCATGTGTTTAGACCTTGCAGTAAAATGTGTTTTGTAAGATTTGAGGTTTTCACAGCTGTGAGTATGAAGATTTCTGTCTTCTGGGTTGTTGCGCTGTGTAGTCTGGTCGATGTTTACCAACGTTTCGGAGGTCATACTGCCTCCGTCATCAGGGCGATGACGGAGGCAGTATGACCTCTGAAACATTGGTTAGCATCGACCAGACTACACAGCGCAACAACCCAGAAGACAGAAATCTTCAAAATGTGTTTTACTTGTCAACGCAGAAATGATCAGTAAACTGGTCATTTGACCCTTTCCATATCAGAACAGTGAAGCCAACCTGTCAGAAGTCTTAAACACATAATACAGTAGATAAGAAGGGCCCATGTCTTTCCCTCATTCCCTACTTTTCAACCAAAATTAAGTTCATATATTTCTTTGAAGAGAAGGGTGAAATTTCATTTTTGAGATTTTAAAGGTAACTCTCAAAATACATAATGTCATACTGCCTCCGTCATCAGGGTGATGAATATCGCCCTGATGACGGAGGCAGTATGACCTCTGAAACGTTGGTTAACATCGACCAAACTACACAGCGCAATAACCCAGAAGACAGAAATCTTCATAATAGAAATTGTTGAATGGTTGACACATTTGTGCAGCATTTTGTGGAATACGTGCTCACTCACACAAACGAAGACACTACAATTTTACAAATGAATAGAAATTAAGATAAAAACATGAATAAACTATATTAAGTCTTCTGATTGAAATCAAATGAGTAACTGGTAATGTAAATGATGTGGCAAAATTGAACAAGTGTGGACATGTCATAAACACGAGCATGACGGTGGAGGAACGGCAATTGACGTACCCCATCCCCTTACTAATTTACATCCTGAATAAACTAAATTAGTGTGTTGGAAGCTTCGGGTGAGAAGAAAATTGTATTTACATTTTCATAATCAGCATTAAAAGTATGTGCAGATTATCTACAAACATCTGTGTAACATAAATTTTGTTATGGGTGATATTTTATGTTTTGCAGTGTAATGAAAGTAACTTACATGAGGCACAGAAGCAGAGCAAACAAATGTGTCTTGGTGTTGGGTTCATAATCTACTCTTGTTTGAACTGAAGCATGGCATGATGGGCACTGTAAGTTGCATGGGGCAGACCCCAGCATTGGAGCTTGCACAATAACTGCAAAAGAAATTGTTATTCATAATCATGTAAGGCATGAAATGGAGGCATGGTACATGTCATATGAGCTTGATACTTTCTTTGCATTACTGCCCGTAATGCAAACATACAAAATGTAATAATTCATGAGAATACTTGGTTCAAAAGAGGATCTGCCATTTGTTTGCCAGAACAGGAAAGCTGACAGGAAGTCTTGTATGAAGCACATCTGAAGTGTTGTCTGGTAAGGCAAGGTTATCCCTTTCAAAAGACCGACTTGACACAACTCTCTCCCCCCCTCCCCCAGAATGCAAGGGAGTGTGATGTAAAGAGGGAAAAGTTGTTGCAAATCACATGTTTACAATCTTAAGTGTTGGAATTTTTTTACCTAGGATGAGCTGTTACAGTGCTGCACTCTTTATGTTATTAATAATAAGAAGTTACAGACATGATGCCACAACATAACATAACATTCGGTTACAAAATATAGCATAAAAGCAGAGAACAATACTGCTAAGGCACTATTCTAGTAATGCCATGATGATACAGGGTTTCAAAAAGATTTAATTCACAATACAATATGGAATATTAACCTTGTTATCCTTCTCCGTGTCTTGTGTTTATAGATGACATGAACGGTGGTCATTTTTAACACCTGCCAGCTGATTCACCAAGTGCCAGTGCTGATGTGTGTAATGATTTAATTTATTAAAAATGTCACTGAATGTGTATACATAATTTTGAGACTGCCTGAATTTATTATACACCTATCTGTCAGCATCAGTGTTGCTCTTCTCATCCTCATGTTTTTATAACTGTAGCAAGGATAAATTTGTATTACCACTTTGCATGTGGATGTTGAGGGATGTATAGGCTGGCCCCCACTTAATGGTACCTGCACCTTGTCGTGGTGGTGGGGCTTGAGTACCTCAGTGACTCCAAGAGCTACTGGTAGGGCCTCCCTAGCCAGATTGGTCGAGGGGGAGAGGTCAGACTAAGACAGGTACCCTGGTCCTCCAGGTTGGGGGTTGGTCACAAGGCTAACAACCTTTCACCGTAAAAAGGAAGATTTTTCAAAACATCGATCAAAGCCTCGGGCAGATGGACCTAACAGAGGACCGAATGGAAGAGGAGAATTGAGGAGGCCATGGACCGAACACGGACTGGAGAGCCATAGAAAAAGAAGATAGGCTGGTAGGCAGGACCTGAGCTGCACAGTAGCTGTGGGCATAGCTCAGAGTTCAGGTTCCACTTAAAGACCTTTCATAATCATGTATATTTTACTAAATTTTTTATCTGAATGAACATGTTCACACTTTCATGTTGTACTTGGAAACCAGATGTGCTGATGGATGATACCAGGAAGGTATTGATTACCTGTAGGCGTAACTTGGGGTATTGGATTCATTCCATATGCTGGTTGCGGATTCACTCCATATGCTGGTTGCGGATTCATTCCATATGGTGGTGGAGCCCCCTGTGTCCTGCAACACAACATTGCGTGAAAGATAAGTTAAAAGGATGACTCAATTTTAAGATTTTTATATCGGTAATAGAAATGTGTGATGAAATTTTTAAAATATTGGTAACACAAGATTTGTTAAATGGGTGAAAAATGGAGAATGTTATAAGATCAAGGGTTACGGACACAACGCAGAAATTTTCTGTCCCAATAAAAACATTTACATGTAATTAATGTGAATGCTTGCTATATCATTTTAAAATTTGCAATCATGTGGCTTCTTTTTCAGAGTTATTTAAACCAGGATAAATATAACAGGAACTTGAATAAACTGAGATGTGTTCTTTGCGCCATGTCGAGTAGCTCTCTCTGGTCATGTAGGTAGTGTGTGTGCCATCGTATCTCAAACATGGACGGTGACATGAGACATTCTTTGCTCATGCTAGAACGTGAAGAACCCCTAATAAATATGGCATGATGTCATTTGAGATGGTGTGGACAGAAACTGGTAATACGAAATTAAGGTAATAATAAATAGATGAGATTAAAACTATGTGAGTATGAGAAATTATTATAATTTTTAGAATTCACATTACTTGTTTCAGGATAACTAAATTACTGAACTGAAACTTGAAAAATTGTCTCTGTGCCTATTAAAACTTGAAATTTACAGTAACTGCTGCTTCCTAAAGAGAAGAATTCTTTGCATTTTGATGTACTCTAAAACATACTGGACCTTCCCTGTTATCTACCATTCATTTGTAGCAGTTTTTGGTAATGGCAGTTTTATGCTTCATTATGAACATTGTTTCTTTAATTAGGCTATTTGAGGATAATAACTAGCTTAACCTAAGTCAGGAAATAATACAACATAGCCATGTCCAAACAGTTACAAGTCGATGACAGACAGCCTTCTACTTAAGAGATGCCACTGCAAAGATAAAGTAGGCAGATTGTTTTATGGTTATTTAAGATTTGAGGTTTTCATGGGAGTGAGTCTGAAGATGGAAACTTTCAACATGTTACAATTTACATTCGTTGAATGTTCTTATAATGTTAGGTTGTATTCTATGATATGCAAAAATGAAATATATCTTAAGATTTCTGTCAATGTTTGTGGAAATCTACCAAACTACATAGCACAATAATCCAGAAGACAGCAATCTTCAGACTCGCCACTGTGAAAACCACAAATCCTACAAGGAAATATATCTTATCTATATTTCCTGCTTATCATGAAGTAGGTTGGAGATTAGTCAAATGTGTTACTTGTTGGCGATATTCTTAGTAAAATAATTTCGGATACAGCTCAGAATGATTCCCATGTTCTTATGACATTGAATTTGCTGTTAAATCAGTGAAAACTTTCAACGTGTTAGATTTTAAATTTATCGAATGTTCTCGTGTGATGAGTTGTTTTCTATGATACGCTATATATATATACGGGATGAGTCAGAAGTATGTTTACAAACTTTGTGTGCGTGTTCCTGGATCAAAAATAAGAAAAAACGTTCTTATGAACATGTGATCGCAAATGCTTCTTTTTCTAAATCATAGCCAAAAATAAGTTTAAATGTATGCCGTTATTGCCAAGTATAAGGGCAGGGGTGTTTATTTATAACATGCTCAAATGTTGTTCCTCCATTCTCCACACATGCCCGAGCACGACGTACAAAAGACTGACGGATTCGTTCGTACACACCAGGGTTTTCTCGAATCATCTGGCATGCATTCTGCGCACGTTCCTATAGGCCGTCTTCATCGTTTATGGGTGTTACATAAACGACGGATTTCAAGTGACTCCACAGATAAAAGTTCAATGGAGTCAGGTCCGGTGGCCATGCTACTGGGCCACCGCGTCCAGAGTACTGTTTATTGAGATGATCTCTGACTCGACGGGAGAAGTGTGTACATTTGTCTTGTGTTCAGTGGTTCACCTTCAAAGAGACGTGGCAAGTATATTCTTAAAGATCGTCGATATTAAGGTCCTTTTAGACGTGATGGAAGCATGTGTGGACCAATAAGCATGTCGCCAACAATTCCTGCCCAAACGTTAATTGAAAATCTTTGTTGGAATCTGGATTCACTTTGACATGAAGTCATTCATTGAAACTTATTTTTGGCTATTACTTCGAAAATGAAACATTTGCTACCCCATGTTTATAGGAGCACTTTTTCATATTTTTGATCCTGGAACACGCACACAAAGCTTATAAACATACTTTTGAATCACTCTGTATGTCTTATCTATATTTTCTGCTTATCATGAAGTAGGTTCTTTTAGATTAGTTCAATGTGCCACTTGTTGGCGATATTCTTTGTAAAATAATTCCGGTTACACCTAAGAATGATTCATGTTTTTTTTATGACATTGAATTTGCTGTTAAATCAGTGTATTAAAAAGACTATATACAGACTGGGCCGACGTAATCGTATTTGGCGCTCTAGACGAACGTTCAGCGTTCTCCCCGGCAAATAAGTTCCGAAAATGAGTAATGTGCCTTCCTATGTACAAAAGCTAGGCATTTATAATTTCAGATTCAGTTTACACGAAGAGGTGAATAATATGATACTGAATGTACATTGTAATTGTACCGCACTGTACACAAATTGTGCACTAAAAGAAATACAAAGTATAAAAATGCGAAGCATAAGCTATTAGCTCAAGGATATGTGATACAACAACGACTAACGGATGCACTGACAGGATGTGCTGACTGATCACATTGTCGACTTCGCTATAGCCGTCAACCGTTTGTGGCACGCGAGGAGAACGAGATGCATACATTTTAGTCAAATCCTGAAGCTAATATGCTATTTGTAAGACCTAGTGTTAATTGTGAGGATTCTGTTACAAGTATATCAGTTGGACCAGTGGCGTGATGTTGTGAACACGGTAGTAAACTTTTGGGATCCTTACAAGACACTGGAATTTTTGAGCATGTGCATCTGTCATCTTCTCAAGGACTCTGTCGCAAGGAGTTTGCTAATTGACATTCTTCGCGGAGCAAATTCGGCGTCACGTGCTTGTGGTACAAACATGCTAATGTGTCCGAGTGCGTCGATTGAAATGGCATATTTCAATTAACGCCATGAAAATAAAAATGTTCCGGCAGCTCGAATATGAATTTCGGTTAACGGGAATATGCAATTACCGGCTGGAACCGCATGATTCACCTCCAAGCGCTTCATGGTTTTCCCCATACGAGTTAATAATCGCTGTATAAAAACAATTAAATACATTTTCCTTTCTAAAAGCAGTTTTACAAGGAGCCGGGAAAAAATTTAACGCTGAACGTGTAAGGACAAGACATAACATGACAGTATAATTTCGTTTCTTTTTTTCCAATAATCTTTTTAGCACCGTACCGCGTTTTTTATAACCTCTACACAACAGTAAATGACACCAGACCAAAAATCGATAAACCATCGCCGACACTCCCATATTGGCGCCATATTTTACACAACAAGAAATGGTTTCTGTACTCACTCTGCTGATTTCGACATGGTGAAGTTCGAATGTGGTGAAGTACCAGCCGCCACGCAGTTCAGAACGCAACTGTCACGTCGTCTCGTTCGCCTGTTGAAATAGAGGACGGGCTCTCACCATAGCACATGAGAATGACGTCATAGCTGACGCGAAAGTCAGGAAAACAAATATGAATGTTATCACGCCGTTGTCAGGGTGACTAATCTGATACAACATTGAGGTCATTAAGTACTCGGGTGCTGGCTACGAACGAACGCTAACCAGCACCTAAGGATCTTGTTATTTGACGTCCGTCGCGAATAGCTACTAAACCTTGCTATGCTTTTATGTCAGTAGCTGTGTATTTGTGAAAATTTTCATTAATATTCACTGAAACTTGAATAAAAATTATTCAGGGTTTATCATATGATTTGACACCTTGTAACCATATAGGTGCTTGGGGAGGGGGGGGGGTACAGCTCATTCTTAACTTCGGCATCACGCCCCGGTACCCATTGGACAGGAGACTGGGCAGGCCCCAGTCGGTCTGGACGCAGAGGCTATAAGAAAAATCTTCTGTCCCTGTCGGGTATGGGAACAATCTTATCGATGGTCATTGTTACGATAATGCGATCGAAAGTCGTGTTTCGGCAACGTGTTCCAACTGTTACATTGGTTGTCATTGTTGGGGCAATGTTCTCGGCTCCTATTATGACTCCAGTGCTTGGTTTTTGTAAAGTGAAAAGTTCAGGTAATTCATGATTTCAATGTTCAACTTTGGGTGCACTTTAACGGTATTATAATAGGCATTACTCCCGACACCTAACTGTATCTACGAGGAGTTACTTGGAGGAAGTACGCACTGCAGGCAAAAGATGTCGGTAATCCCCAAGCCCGTCGCTCACTTTCGGAAGCAGTCAGGAAGCGGCTGCATATGTTGGTATTAACTGCGGAGCTTCCAATCTTGGTATTATCTATGCTTACTATGGCGCAGAGCGTAAAGCAAAATAAGTGTTTTAATTCGTTTCAACGTTTAATAAATGTTATAAACAAATTGGAGGGGCGTGTTTCAACATAAATATTTTTATTACATGTCGTAAGGTAAGGAAATGGTCACAGTAGATGAGTTACGAAAATGAGCTCAGCAACAACTTCTGTTGAGATTTGCTCTAGCAAAGAATAAAATATCTTGTAACTAATTAAAGATACTTGACAAAAAGGAAGAAATCTGGTTGGAACGGCACTTTCACCTCTAATGTAATTTAATTCCATAGATGTATTTGTGTTACATAACACGCTGATAACCTCTACTAGCTGGAAGTCCTGTGTATGATGAAGGTTAGTGTTCTACGAATGAACACAGAAATGTTTGTTTAGTCTCCTCTAACACCTCTTTGTACCGGTGGATGAAAGTACGAATCCTTTGCTGAATGCAGTATGTATTTGCAGTCAAATTTCCCACATTTGGCTCAAATGTGACTGGCAATTCACGTTTGGAATTTTCTTTTGCTCTGTCATTTCATCAAGAAAATGTATACCTTGCCTTTAATATAACTAAATTTGGTGTAATTTTAGAGTATTAGCGCCCATTTCAATTTGTGTGCACTGAAATTATGAAACAATACAGAACTGAGCTTGAATGCACTTCTGTTTTAGAAGAGTAGGATTTTATCAAATTTTACATATCTTAGTTGTCATCCTTGAAGAAGAGTGGAAATTAATTCCTGGATGTACAATTGCATACTTTAACAGTAATTACTAAATTTCATTGTGATTATGACAATCTACCATAGAAACACTGGTTTCTGACATCCAGAACAACTTGTACTCTGATGCAAGTGAATTATAGGCCATATTTGCCACACAAACATACAAATGTAAGACCAGGAATCATTGAATGTAGAGGTTAGAACTACTGCTAAACTAATGTTTTGAGATTGTTATGATAAAGAGATGAAACAGTGTTTCATTAATGTTATGAAACACTTGTCATTTTTCAGCAAATTGTTTTGTTTGTTTAAGCAGTGTTTGTCCTGAGAAGGCTATAGTTATTCAGTCAAGAAATTCTCCACCTTCTACAGAACCTAAAGTTTCATGACCATAGTCATAAGACCCCACGGAGTCTGAGGCCATGTGTAACATCACACTTGTAGATATTGAATGTGACTTTGTAAATGTGTGTATTCAGAACATCCCTGTGCGAACTTTAACATTTTTACCTACTAAATAATTAGTGCTCATTTTTCAATTGAAGTTTGATTTGAATTGTAAATTATTTTGTACTGTATTAACTGATGAAGTTACTTGATTCCAATGATGTAATTAGTGAATTAAAATGGTGGATTCCATGATGAAACTTGCGCTGTAAATCCCAAATTGATTTAGTGGCCTTGAATCCCGATCTGGTCTCATAAATCAAATCGTAGGTCTTCTCTAGATTGGACAGGTTCAGAATAACTGTCACTTGTAATTAAATTATTCAAATTGGATAAGCATTTTATTGTTTGTGATTTTACAGATATCGGTCTGTGTAGAGATGGTAGACTTCATAATACGAGTTAGAAGCCGCGACATAATTGTGATATTACGCCTGAAATCAAGATTTTTGGACAGGTAAGAGACTCGATGTATCTTTTCTTGAATCTGTTCATATTCCCTACTTTTATTGCCACCCTCTAGATATTCATTGTTCTAGCGACCATTACTGTTGGTTAAATTATTTATGAGATCCATAGTACAGATTAATTGAAATGTAATATAACATTGATTATTAGGACTGTAGGTTTGCATTAGATTGTCATAATAAACTAAGATTTTGATTGTTTAATCAGAATTTATGTTCATAAAATACTTGAATGTCCATCGTAAATAGTGACGCAGGGGTTGAATGAGTGACGTCATTGCAATTATACACACTCGATTTTCCCTCAGTATGTGGAGTTCCGTTTTGAGCTTCTGTCTGCAATGTTTAAGATTCTGCCGCATGTTTTAGTTACGCGTAATTTTTCTTACTCCCATCCTTGGATTTACGAACGTAATTCGTTCCATGAAAACTGTTCGTAAGGTGAAAATCCTAAACTCCCTGAATTTTCCCCACGCATGTTAGAATACTGTACAATAATAAAAGTACGCTATTACTTTTTATGATAGTAATTACCTGTTTAACAGCGTAAAGCACTATTGAAGTGTTAGATCAACCGTTTACTTTGTACATTGTAAACATCAGAGCTTACGTATTCCTCCGCGTCCGTTTCCTGCAAAGTGGAACTCGGCCCACGAACGAAGGCTTGTTCGTCGTCGTAGCGAAAATAACGTTCGCGAACAGAAAAATAAGATTTTATGTACATGGTTCGTTGTAGTGAAAATTCGTACGTAAATAGTGGCATGGGTGTATATATGTGTTTCAGTATCGTAAAATGCAGGGAATAACGTTTTGTGAAGAGTACAGTAGACTCCCGATTATCCGGGTTGGTTAGGAAATGTATTTTCCCAAATAATCGAAACTCTGGATAATCAAAAAAAAATAAAGAAAAAACGTACAATTGTAAGTAATACGTAAGTTTATTTACAGATATACCCTACTTATATTTTTAAAGACTTGCTAATAATAGAAAGGATTTTATATAAAATTTATTACAATACATAACTATTTTTAAAAAGGTTTCCAACGGATACTAATAGCGTTCTGTTGTCGTAAACTTAACGTTTTAGCAACAATTTATTTGTGTTACTGCGTCAAATAATATGCCATTGTTGTATTTATTCCTTTCTTCTTAAACATCCTAACGTTTACGACGGATTTTCTAATTTAGTTTTATTTTAAACTATATAGACCCCGGATAATCGGGAGTCTGCTCTACAAATAATGAAGGTCTGAGATACTCTTTGCCCTGATGATGGAGGCAGCAAGTGCTTCTGGAACGTCGGTAAACTTCTACCAGACTAGACGGCGCTACAGCCCGGAAGACAGCCATATTTATAAATGATTTTAATTACGTGATTTATTCTCACAGCAGGCCTACGAACCTCCTATCAAATGTATCATGGCGTTGTTTGTTCTTCTCGGATTTTTTTTTTTTTTTTTTTTGGCTAACGTACCAGAAATTAGTAATGTCTGAAAATTGTTCTTGTATCACGTTTCCTCGTGTTTAAACACTGATTCAATTGTCTGATTACATCCAATATGGCAGATTACAGATATCACAGAAAGACAGCAATTTGAACAAAATTAAACGCGATCTTTAATGTTTGCAGATCTGATTCGGTGTTAGTTTTGCCGTTTTATGAGTCACGTAGAAGAATTTACTTTCGTTGAAACATCGGAAAGTTCTTTTCTTGCGTGATCGAACAATTTGAATTGGTTTCGGATTTTCTGATGTGAAGGAAACTCGGATATAGCAAGGTCTCATATATTATTTTTAGAACCCAGGTGATTACGTGTAATTTGGTTTGTGGGTTGTCCCTAAGAGGATGCGAGGTCTTGGACCCTGGGACACTCGCAGTTGTTTTTGGCCGGTGGAGAAGCTAGTGGAGCTGGCGGACGGGCCTACTCTGTGCACCTGAGGTGGCACGGTCAGTGCATTTCTTTTGTTTGGGCGTTCAGTCCGATAAGCTCTTCGGTGCAGTCAGCATTATACTATCGCAAAAGAGACTCGCTCCTAGCCTTACCCTTGAAAATTCCACCGGCCAAAAACTACTGCGCCGACTATACCACAGAAACTGGCTTGAGTGGTTTAAGGCGTGTTTAGATTGTGCCAGTCACAGCTGGCGACTTACTGCTGGAATACAAACAAATGGAACAACGCATTCTAGATTACGTAAGACAGAAAATCCACTTTGATACCAGTTAAAATAATGGTAGCTACTGACATTTGAATAAAATGGCTGCGTCAGATGCTTGATGGAAACATATCGGCTGTCTTCTGGGATGTTGCGTGTTTCTCTAATGGAAATAAGTTTCGAAATGAAAATTCTATTTGAGCCGGTGTCTATACTTCGCGCTGTGCTCAGCTCTGTTATATTTATTGGATTTCTGCGTCAGCTACGAGACGATCGCCCGACCTTGTTAAAGCAATATCAAACTATCGACACGCACACATTCATATATCGATATATCTCGCTCTCGCTGGTCCATATTTTTAGATGCCAAGACGAAAACTCTAAAAAAAGAAATTTCGTTGGTGCAAGCCCCTTGTAAACAGTTGGTAGCCCTCCTCTGTCAGTAAGCCATTAAAAATGCCGAAATGTAAAAGTCTGTTACTGAGAAAGCAGTTAAATTAATTTGAGGGTACTAAGGTCTTTGTGATGTTTATTTGTAGTTTATTTAACAGCGCTCTCAGTAGCTCAGAATATACAGGTTGTCTCAGAAATATATATACACGTTGTAATATGGAATGTTAACCTCGGTATCGATCTCCATGTGTTGAGTTTCAAGGCGAACCTAGTGTTGTCTACACTAAACACCTGCACTAGATTAGCTAATTCAGTAACTGTGAGTGTTGAAGTATGTAATGGTTTAGTTTATTAAAATCTTTTATTTCATTCGTTGGATTTATGGGATATTATGTATAGCGTCGGATGATACGTGTAGTTAATGAGTAATGAATTGGAAGGGATGTGCAAGGAATCGGTGGTGGCCTAATTTAAGGAACTGTCGCGGAATTTAATTGACGGTACTGAGGAATACCAAAAACATTTCGAGATTGTTGGTCTAGGGCCGATGTCTGAATCCGGGTCCACCGAATCCGAAGTACGAATGAAATCTGTTGACCTTGAATTTTGGTCTGTGGGATGTTTGTCGTACATTAATTTATTTGTAAAAATCTAGCGAATGTAGAATTATGTTCGAAGCTGTAGTGGTTAAAGATGAGGCTAAATATAATTTTTTTCTTTTTAGCAATGCGTGCAATTAAGTCAGTTGATACTGGAAAGATGGCATTTGCAGTACATTAAGGCAGATTTTGTTATGAGTTCTTGCATTAGCGTTTTAGAGTTTTATTTTTAATGCAGTCACGGCTCTGATATGCGTGATGTAGGGCATTCGCAAACCGAGGGTTGTGTTTCTTAGAAAATGTTCTGTTGGCAAAACCATTATCTTACGGGAAATTGGTGGTTAGGAGAACCACAAATCACAGCTTAAACTGAGTTGTCTGTTCCCTCATTCAACACAAAAAATACGTAATCACGTTATAAAAGGATGGTAGCTAGAAAACTGACTGGGCTACTTTCTCTCTTTACGACGTCCAGACCAGCTGAGGGGCATATCCACCTCTCGTACCAGTTTCTTTCCTCAGGACTAAAGCGGCCGGAGCTCGAAGCTAATCACTCCCGTCCATCTGATGCCAAGGTTAAAAATGAGTCGAGGTAGACTTCAACACCTGTCGCCCTCCTCCAAAAGCGATTCCCAGTCCATTTGTTTCCACAGTAACGGAAGGTGATTGTTGACGGTAATAAATACTAATAAAATATAACAAATTCACAACTGGCAAAGAAGCTTTAACAAAGTTGATGTATCAAGAAATGTAAAGATTTCGAATTGTTTTTCTTAATGTGTGCCCCGTTTATTAACCATCTGAAGCCGAAGATCGTCTAAATATTATCTAAGAATTCAGTCCGTACCGCAAAGAAAACACTACACTCAATCGGTTAATGCCATTTAAGAAAATGATTGCTATTTACCCTGAGAATCATACGAAACCCACAAATACACAATGAAGGGTTATTAATCGTGAAAGCAGGTGGTACACATACTTACCACCAGACTCTTAAGGGTTCTAACTGTTTCATCAAGATGTTCGGCTACTAAACACGCCTTGTCGTTTTAAGCATTCGAATTTATAATTGTTTACTGGAATAGTAAATTGCAATCAATTTTTGTCGTAAATAACAAAAGTCTTTGAAAGTATTTGAAATTGTGTTAGAAAGAAAGAAACTAGCTTAATTGTCTGGCAAGTGTTCATAAGTATTAACAAACACATGTAAATATGTTGATAAATAATAATAACAATAAAATAAGAAAAAGTCTTCACCTATCTCTTCGTTCAAGGGAAGGGAACTAGATGTCCACCAGCAACAAACAATCGAATTAATAACAAAATTCAATAGCACAAAAGTATTTTGTCTAAGACGCATTTCTTCTATAAGTTGTCAGGTGGACCCACGGTTCCGGAGAATTTGACGTAAATACGTCTATACGGAAAGGAAGTTTATATATTGGCTTTATTCTAAATATTTCCTTTATACATGCTTTACAATTGAGTAAAGTTTGATTAAGACATTGCTTATTTAACTTGAATTAGTTACGCTTAAGATGGGTCTGTGGTAGCTGAATGTAATGTAATGTAAAGTAATGTAAGGTAAGATATAGGTAACAACAATGCCGAGTAAACAGATGAAGTTTCCTAGGTAACATAACAATGTAGTTACACTTTTTCGTTTCACGTTTTGCCGAATGACACTGACCCTAAAATATAGACGTATTTACGTCAATAATACAAAGAGAATTACTCTGTGTTATAATTTGGTTACATTCCATTCTTCCTGTAAAGAGTCAACAATTAACATTAATTGTGTTCTCTATTAGAAGGAAATAAATTTAAAAATAATGAGAAGAGGCACGAGGAAAAGATTACAATTTCATTTGCCTTTACATTCGCGGACCTTTTACACTCAGGTACCTGAATATGTTCTATAAACCCTCGTCGTGTAAACGTAGCGTACTTCACCTCAAGGAGCAACACAGTATATTCTTGCTTCTTGTTTTCTTGCTTTGAGATTCCCACCTGTTGTCAGCCACCGTTAACAAACGAATTACCATATAAGACTGCTCGAAAGAAAGATTACAGGTTTTGCTACAGACGCAATACACGATTAATTTACGTAACTCCGTGGACCAGGGTTCTCCTTGAACAGCTGATAGTCGTTAAGACCTCGACATCCTGATGTCAGTGGCGAAAGCTTTAGTCTGCCTTGCACTGCCCCACCAGACCACAAAAACTGGAGGAATATTTAACAGATGTTTCAACATTTTACACAATAACTATAATAACGCCACGGTGGTCTAGCGGTTAGAACGCTGGCCTTTTTTAATCCTGGGGTCTCGGGTTCGATTCCCGGCGGTGCC